TATATATACTTAGCCAAACTCTTGCAAATCGTTTTCGTATCTGGTGCTGTGTCAAACGATATGAATATTCCTCTTTTAGCCATTTGGAGAGAACCCCAAAATCAGAAAGTGAAATAATGCAATGAATAAATATTACCCGAGAAAAAAAATCTGACAAAGAATGTATGTGTGTATGTATACAGTATAATATAAAACAAATAATTGATAACAAACCAATATTCATTCCTACTTCAGGAGAACTGTGTTGAAATATATTCAGGCGCATCTGTCGTTCCCGGTGCCTGGAACGACCTTCCGTGTAATCTGGAGCTTGGTTTTATGTGCCAGCAACCGAGAGGTAGGCCTAACAAAATATTAATGTTGATCATAGGTTGTTTACGGTACCGAATGTTTCCGCATTGTCTATGTAGTGCGAATGCTAGTTACGGTATTTTTTACGTGGTTATGTTTTTTATTTTCTGTTTGCCTCTGAAGTTTAAATAGAATTCCATAAAATGCTTCTAGTTTAAGCACGAGGTATCATTCCTAGTTTAAATTGAATTTTAAAATAATCATGCCATTTTTCATATATATTTTTACATATCTGTGTTTTCAGATGATACAGCCACACCAACGAAAGGGAGCAACACGAAATGTCCTGACGGGTTTGTGATCTACAGAGATGCTTGCTATAAAGTAATGACAACCAACAATGATTTTAATGCCGCCGAAAAGTAAGAAAATCAGGTTGTGACGGTAGTATTAGTATTAGTAGTAGTGGTGGTGTTAGTAGTGGTAATAGTGGTGGTAGTAATGGTAGTGGTAGCAGGAGGAGCAGGATGAGTATTGGCCGCTGCTCAGTAGCAGAATCAGCACAACCAGTAATTGCACCGGTACCGGCAGCAATAGTGCAAGCACCAACAGCACCCAAACCGGCACTGTAGCAGCAGTAGAACCAGCACCAACACCGGTACCGGAACGACCAGCAGCATGGTTGCCATTGCCAGCACCAGCATGATAAGCACCAGTAACAGTAACAGCACTATTAGCGAGCACGAGCAGTAGTAATAGTAGTAGCAGTTATGTTTTACTGTTGTTAATGTCACTATCAATCGAATATAGAACGGCCAATAAATTGTATCGAACGTATACCTACTATTATGATTCCTTTAAACCTATTTTAGGAAATGTGTTGACGCTAGGGGACACCTTTCAAGTGTATCTGATGTTTTTGAACAGAAACAGCTCGAGCTAATGAGCCAAGATGTGGGTGCTGTTCCACTCTGGATTGGTCTGTCATACCAAGAGGTATCACTTTGTTTAGAATATTTCATTATAATCAACGTTATCATCTTTTTTAACATTACCATCGTCATCATCATTGTCGTCGCTGGCATCGTTGCCGATTCCGCCGCCACACCACCATCACCACTATTGACGTCGATGATATAATAATAATTTTTATTATTATACCATTTCTGAACGCTAATAATTAATAAGAATCCAATTAATTGTTAAAATGGAATAAATGTAGTACATTTAGGAAGAGAATGAAATGCTGTGAGTGTGATGAACTGTATGTTTACGAAAGCGTTTATCCACATGAATCTCGCCAGTACGCATACTAAAGAAAATTTGACAAGGTGGTGCTTTTATTTAGACAGCGGTGAGATTTCTTCGGAATACATAATATGTAAAAAAAAAAACGTCATTTGTAGTGTTCAACTAGAGCTAATGCAAACTTGTAAAATGTTTATCGAGTGTCTGTATTTTTACGTTTTCAGTCCAGTGGCAAATACACATGGACAGATGGATGGCCAACAACTTTTACCCACTGGGCGTATGGTCAACCAATCAAAAATGATGAGAACGGAGGCTGTGTGATAATGTTGCCAACAGGACAGTGGAATGATACCTCGTGCTTAAATAAGTATAACTCAGTTTGCAAGATTACAGACGGTAATTACCAATTTTAACTAGTATAAATAATTGGTTTTGTTTCTACCACAAATGTTAATACTATACGATATTGTTGGGTACAAGCTTCAAAAGGCCACCGTTATTATTATTATTATTATTATTATTATTATTATTATTATTATTATTATTATTATTATTATTATTATTAATATTTGGTGTTGTTGTTGATGTTGTTGCTGCTTCCACTTTTGCTGATGCTGTTTCTATTTTTGTGCTATTATTGTTGTTGCTATTGTTGCTGCTGCTGTTTGTGTTGATGCAACTGTTTTTGCCGTTGCAGTTTTTGTTGTTATTGCTGTTGCTGCTGTTGTTGTGGATGATGCTGCTGTTTCTGTTTTTGTTTTTTTTTTTAATTTCTTTTTTGATTTCTGTTGTTCTTGAAGGTGCTGCTGTTACTGTTGCTGATGCTGCTGTTTCTGTTGCTGCTGCTGTTGTTGTTGTTGTTGTTAGCAACACCGTTTAGGTCAAGCCATCGTTAGCATTATTCATTATTTTGTACATTTTTTCCAATATGCAGCTAAACCACCTGTCTACCCTTCGACGGTGCCTGGAAACTGTACGGACGAGACCTGGACATCATTTGGTGCGTACTGCTACAAGGCTTTCGTTACAGAGCAGGTTTCGTGGCACACTGCGCAGTATACGTGCAGTAAAATGCGCAACACCAATCTAGTCAGTATCCACGACAGCAAGGAACTGAATTTCATTAATAATGTTGTGATACCACGTGAAAGTTCGACGGTTTGGATTGGTCTTATTGCGGACGAAGCTTCAGGTAGGACAAGCGCCTAAAGGGATATTTGTAGGATAGAACATAGAGGAAAGAACATGCCTCCTGTTTTATTGTTAAAATTAAATTTTCAATGTAATGCTAATAGATTCCAAAAGTAAATTGCTTGTTCCCTGATTGTCACCCCTAGACAATATTTAAAAATATTTAGGGACGAAGACCTTGGAACAGTAATCAAAAAATGAGAAAAACTTCAAGTACTGCGTAATTGTAAGTTGGTGCTGCTGTTGTTGATGTTGCTGATACTACTGTTGTTGATGTTGTTGTTGTTGTTGTTGCAGCTTTAAGTTATTAATTATATTGATTGTCATATGTGTAGGGTTATGCACACGATAAATGCTAGTACGCATTCTACTGTGTCCACTAATGGCGACAACGATAATAATGAAAATGATGATAATGATCACGATGATACTAGTAATATAGAAAAACTTAATGACGATGATGAGAGTGATGATGTTAAAAAATGACTTAACTTGTATTATACATTCTGGTTTCAGGCTTTAGTTGGACGGACGGGACGGCAGTGGATTACCTGCCTTGGGCGCCGGGTGAACCCTCAGGAAAATACGAAGATGAAACAGAGGACTGTGTTCAATTGTATCACAATTCCGGTAAATGGAATGACCTTAGCTGCAGTAATCAACTTCCCTATATCTGTAAATATAGTAAATGTAAGTAAAAACCCAGTTCTCATTTGGCCAACCTTTTGATGTTTGTGTCGAGATTAAAAACTTTGAAATGGTTGCTTTGTAAATAGATAGATTGTAGAAAGTGTTTAAAACAGCATTAGCAGCAAAGGCAGTAGCAGTGGTGGTGGTAGTAGTGGTTATGACAGTTATGGTAGTAGTGGTGGTGGTGGTGGTAGCGGCGGCGTCAATGATGGTAGTGGTAGTATTGCAGTGTGGTAGTAGATTTTGATGGTACAGTAGTGATATTAGTGGTACGGTAGTGGCTGAAACAGAATGTGGCACTGTAGTATTACACTGAGGTAGTAGACTTATGATAGTAGTATGACAGTGGTTTAAATGTAGGCCTAAATTGTAAAGGTAGAATAACCCGTAGGCCTAACTCTCAGTGTCATTGTTTAGTAGTCGTAGTTATCAGTAATAGAGGTGTCGTAGTTGTTGGTGGTGGTGGTAGTAGTGGCATCGGCAGTTGCAGCAGCATCTGGAGAAGCAGCAGAGTACGATATTGGAAATATAGTATCACATTACGTATTATTTTGGCGTTGTTATGTTATCAAATTTAGGACTATGTTACAATGCTATTAAAATATAGAATATTTGTTTTTATATGTAAAATATAGATGATGAGCCAGTAATTTCAACGGACGATACATTTGTAGGTTAGTATAACCAACAATAAAGTATTTCTTATGCCACTTCGCAGTGCGTTATGGGATATGTGTATTTAAAAAGAATTATTAGAAACATTTTAGATATGGTAAATTTCTGCATTGGCGGTTAAGATGCTTCCCTTCCAATCCAGGATCCTGGGTTCAATTCCTGTGACAGAAGGACATTTTCGCATAACTAAAAATAAATCCACTCAATAAGCCTTATCATGAGATTTAAACCACAACTGGCCACTCTTTGAGAACAGTAAATTTCTAATGAAAATATTTCCCAGTAAAAAGAAAAAAACAATTTTTATTTTGCCCCCCCCCCCTTCCCGCAACGCATTGCGGACGCCTCTATTCTTTCGTATGTTCAATAGGCCTATATTACCTTGTATATTAAACATTTGATGTTCTATAATAACTGTAATGTATTTTTATTTGCAGCCGACGAGGGTTTAGGAGTTGGGGCAATAGTTGGTATAGTACTCGGTTCTATTGGTTTCTTGGTTGCTATCTTCGCTGTCGTTATGCTCGTCAAGAAACAGCGCCGCCTATTAGAATATTTCAGACATTCTGTGAACGATGGTCTTGAGGAAAAAATCTACGATTGAGAAATCAATAGGAAGAGAACTGAAACAAGGAACGATCATTACTCATCTCAGACAGCGTAGTAAAGAACATATTTCATGATCAGTCTGATATTTCATAGCATCGTCGATATACCAAATAAGACTTAAGACTTTCAAAATTATTTGAAACCTTAGCTACCTTTACTGAAGTAATGCCCATTAATGGATACATTTTTTTTAAATATTTTTTAAACTCGTAATTTAAATGACGCCATCTGCTTATATTTGGCTGATATGATTTGAGATCAGCATCTAACAATGAAATGTAAAATATAAACTGATATTAATTTGTTGTAATCATTATCATGTTTATTAGTAAGAGATATCAAGGACAGATAAATAAATACCTTATATCATACTGTATCTAAATATGATAGTGTTTTTGTTATGGTTTCAACCTGTATTCAAGTAATTGTCATTGATATTTCAATTTAGTTTTTCATTGCTCTAGGGAGCTTCAACCAAAGGCTATTTTCCACTTTAAAAAAATTAATACTTTCAGAGAATTAAAACAACAAATTTCACCAAGAAATCATTCATATTCACATACACATTTAATGTTTATATAACATTATAATGCACATTTGATGGATCGAATTGGGTCAATGAGTATGTAGAAAGGAATCAATACTGACATCTACTGGATTAGATTGGATCCTACAAGTCTGAATATTTATTTCCAATGGTACTTAGTGGTGAAGTTGGGCAATACAGAAGGAAAAATCCCCTACAAAAATTGCAATGCGTTCTTCAACTTACCAACGATTAAACACCAAGGAAGACTAATTTCCAGTGGGGTACTGGTGGAAATCCCCTACTCTTTTCTGAAGAATGTACTCTGGTTCTTTAACGTGCACATGAGTCATATGCACACGGGACCAAGATTGAACACCATGGGTACTCTTTCCCGAAGTGTGTACTGCGTTCCTTAAAGCCTGGGACCAATAGCGTATCATCCGAAAGACTACGTTTTTTATACATTCAACCCGCTACCTAAAAATCAAAAGGAGAACAGCGGATAGGATTGAACCGGGTACCAAAGGATCTCCATGGTTGAGTAAACCATAGTGAACACACAGTAGCTACTACCAGTTCGGCCGACCAAACTATGCTGCTCTCTATATCGGGATATGAATACTCAACTAGGAGGAAGAAGATTCTGTGAGGAAGAGTGGTGAAAAAGAGCAATTAACCTTTCCAACTGTACAATCACAACGTATTAGACTGGTTGGCAAGGGCGGCGCCAGGATTTTCCCGACAGGGGGCCGAGGTCACCGACCGGGGGGCGGGACGATTCCCCCGACGAGGGCCCAGATTTTTCGACGAAAGTAAAGGGGGCGTGGTCGAGCTTCGATTAAAAGGTATCAAATGTGGTCCAGGGAACGAAACCCCGAAAATTTAGACAATTTAGGGGTTTTAAAAGCTTATTTTAATCGATGTTAGAGTCTGCTAATATGTAGAAAATACATATAATTTTTTCCCCACGAATTATATCCCCAACGGGGGGAGGGCAGCTCTGTCTCTTATACACATCTAGATGTGTATACCCCCGCCGGCGCCACCCCTGCTGGTTAGGCAAAGATTAAGCGCATGTCCTAATTCCACACTCTCGTTTTGTGAGACCTTAGCAACACTACACAGTACAGAAATCGGGGCATAGCGGAACTGTGCAAGTTAGGCCACCACTAAATTGTGAGTATAAGGCTTTTCTTCAAAACGCTTGCTTGCTTTCTTTGAATGTCTCAGATCTTGTTCGTACAGCTGATAATTTGTGCTTTCGCTGATTAAAGTATATATTACGTCGTAAAATATTTACATCCGGGGCATTGTCAATGACGAAATTTGTTTCACTTGCGCTGTTGCATCGAGCAAATTTCAAAAAATCATCTCGTCGTTTTTTACGTTCTATTTCCTTCGTCTCTTTCTCGTTAAGTTCCAACTTACTCTGTCCATACTTCTTAAGAAATTTACCCTGACTGCTCTTTTCCAAATCTTCTGAAAGTAATAAATATGTATTTTGAAATCTAAATAAGTCAGTATGTTTATTAAATGTCAATTTTCATAATTAACCCTAAACTTATAGTCAAACCTCAAAGTTCAAAAGTCAAAATGCGTATACACCTTGAGACCAGGTAGTAGGAATGGAATATGTTGTACAGGTTTCCCTCGAAATAAATACCACTTTTGGGATCAGGGTTTCCATGGTATTTAGCAGCGTTGGTCTCTGATTAGAATAATAAATGTAAAAGACATTTGTAAATATCGGATCACCAAAAAGTGGTTTTTAATTTGGATGTGGTCTTTAATTTATAGGAGTCTTTAATTAGAGACCTATTGGAATTTTAATTACGTTAACATGTCAGAACCACTGGCTGGCTTAAGCTCTGTCCAGACCCATATATAAGTCATGATGTGCCTATATAATGGTCATATTTAGGCATGTTATATGTCTTTGTCAAATAAAATTTGACAGTCTGGACAGGGGTTAAGGTTGGACAATATTATGGTTACTTTTATTGTCGAAATTTAATATTCTCTAATAAAAATAAAAGTAGGTATTTAAAAGTAGGTATTTATACCAAAAACAAGGTAGATATTGTTGTAATTGGAGAGTTGTAATTGGAGGGGGGGGGGGGTCGACTGTAATAACAGTGGAGTTGAATAGCTTGGTGGTTAAGATGCTTGCCTTCCAATCCCAGGGTCCTGAGTTCAATTCCTGCCAGTTGCAGGATTTTTTCTCACGACATAAACAACTCCACTCCTTAAATCTCATATTGAGATTTAGTTTGTGTAAAGCATCGTGTGTATGTTTGTCTTGTGTAAGGGATTGTCACCTACAAGTAGGACAGTGATATATATTCGCTATTGGCAATCTTTGGCACATGTGTTGTGTGCCTAAAGAAAGAAGAAAAAAACAAAAAACAAAAAAAAAAACAGCTCACCGGTGAATAACGGGATTGACTTGACTTCCCTCCTTTTTTCATCCCAAGCAGAAACCTTTTCAACGTTGGCAGGGGGTGCTGGGGGCGGATGTCTCTTAGGTAGGATCTTCTGAGTTGCCGATTTCCAACGCGGTGTTTGGTGGTCGTCAGTAAAAGGTTCCCTGAGTAAATGGTCATGAGTTGATAGATTCTACAAAAACACATTAATATTACTTTCGCTTTATTATAATTCTTGGCTTTTTAGAAAGAAAAGAGAAAGAGAATTGAAAAGAGAGATTGTGGTTCGACATTTACACATAATATAAGCAGTTGCTGTTTTAGCTTCTTAGCGTTGGGGTCGAGGGTTCAATCCTTCACTGTGAATTTCTCTATGTCCTTGGGCAGGGCTAGCGCTATTTGCTTACACCCATCTTCACCCAGGAGTATGCGCTAATGCTGCAACAAATATGGGATTCTCCACAGTAGCTGATATTATGTGTTCTATAATGCGTTTGATCCAATGATCAATAGAATTATCTATTACTTCTAACATAATGAATTATATTATTACATGTTAATAACGACCAGAGCACCGGTGCGTCGTTCACCCCAAGTACAATTTTTTAGACTAATACCTAACCCAATCGCAGTGCTATAGTCACCTGTCTAGATTTAAAACCATGCTGAGAGAGGAGGAAGCAGGTCACGAGAAGCATGCACAATATTATTATAACCTTATGATGTCATATAAACTTCATTATCGGAGCTCTCTTTGTAAGAACAAGTTCATTTTTAAAATAACGCTTTGATTTTTTTAGTAACTCAAACATTATTTATTAATGTGTGTATACTATGCCGTGTAATTTTCTCCTTTTTACTACAATAGGCCTTACTATTGCCTGTAAACTTATTCCTCAATAATTTATTGTTTACGTTAATTATCACAGCATATGTTTTCAATAACTTACTTTGAAACTATGTATTCCGTCACAATTCCTGACAGCGTTAGTTAGGTACGTCACTTCCGAATACATCTCTTTAAGTTTAGCTTTCGACATTCCGAGCACTTCCGAATGAAGTACCCGGAATGGTTTCATCTCCTGAACTCGAGACATCTTTTGGCTTTTAGGGTACTTGGAGAAGTACACATTGTGTCTGCTTTCCTCTTTTGCACTCCTCTGAATAAAACAAAGTTTGATATAATTTTGTAAAAGAAATACATTGTTCAATTCTATGTTATACTTGTGGCGACTTATTAAATAGCAAAAAAAAATCGGAAATTAAACCACTACAGGGGGGGGGGGGGTCGGGGGGGGGGGTCCCAGAACCACTGCTGCTGTTCTTGTTCTTGTTGTTTCCAGAACTTTAAAAGCGTCCAGCGTCGCCGTTTTGAACAGACGTGCAGGAAATTTTGTACACATAAACTAGAGGTTATTGCCCTTTTTTAAGTTTGACCTAGGGTTTCCCCTACACCTATAAACCAAAACACGGGTTTCAGCAAGGGATGTACATTACTGCCAACCATTACCACTGATAGAACACGTCATGGATGTCGCAGTCGGTTAGTGATGTATTTCAAAGGAATAAGGAAACCAAAGGTCATGAGTTCGAATCGCGTCCTGGTATTTGTTTATGAATGCTTCAGAAAATAAAAAAAAATTTAAAAAGAATGTATTGTAACGATTTTAGACACATGATATTTATTTGATTAAAATAGTGGTGTAATTCAGTTGTCTTTTTATCATAGTGGATATTTTATAGATGATAATAATATTAAGATAACAAAACTGAAAGGTTTGTTATTTTACATTAAATAATGCGACTTACCTCCCGTATCGCCTCCTGCGTTTCTATCAATTCATGATCGCGCCAAAGTTGATTGGCGCTATGTATTGACCGACCCGTAGCAATTTTCGGCAAAGTGGATACATGTATTGCGGCGGGCGCTGACATACTAAGTCTTCTACTGTGTTTGGCCTGCAGTAAAGGAAATGTATAACGGTGACAATACCACTGTATCACACGGTTCACAAGTTTCTATATTAATACCAACTTTAACTATAACTTACCCCATATTTTTGGAAACTGTTTTCCCCAGTAACGAATCCGTTGCTTTCGTTGCCATCCATATCTAGGCGTACAATATCGCTCTAATCCACTTGACTAAACAGATCCGAAACGAAAAAAAAAAATCTGTTTATTTCACATTTATGCCAGGGATAGGACTATTTTACACAGTTACAAATATGCATATTTCCATTCAATATACTTCCTAGACAGTCTCTGCGAAATAGCATTCTATCCCGGCGCTTTTCATTAGTGGTTCGATGTCGCAATAAAAACCAACATTCTAATATCGTGCCCTCAACCATAAACGGGTTCCTATATACGAATCCAAATCTCATTAATAGAATTTGAGCCTCCTAAAAGGCATGAACATGACCTAACTTCAGTTTGATACATTACCGTTGGTTTCGATGACGACTTCAAACAAAACAAAAACAGTTAAAATTTGACGTGTTATTTTTCGTTGCCGTGCCAACATAAAGTCATAAAAATACATTGAACAGCTAAAGGGATCAACGGATGGGAACCGAGAAGAAAACTGCCAATCAAATAAATCTCAAAATCAAGCATTGAATCGTTAATTGTCAAAAATATAACTATTGTTGGATGTTATGCATGACTTATGGTTTATGGTACGATGGTATGTCTAGGCCTATTATTATTAATTTAAAACAAAATTCGCTATGAACAAGAACCATTGGCTAGTACACTGGATAATTACCGTTAACTTTAGACCAAGTGCATGCAACAACACCCTTCCTCGGAAAGTTGAAACCACCCCTTCTCCCAGTCCGGGAGAGAAACAATTAACAATTCGTCGAAAAGAATATAAATCAAGAAACCCAAGTATGTAAGACTAGTAGGCCTAGGCTAAATCGACAGCAAAGAATTGAGTCAGTGGACGGGTCTATGAGTGGTGGGGGGGGGGCGCTGGGGAGAGAATTTCACAGATGGATGGTGCAGTGCAATGCAATTTCATTTCATAAGAAAAAAATGCCTGAAAATTGTTGAAATGAACTGCATTAAGTGACCCAGGTTTTAACGAAAGAGCGAGCCTGCACATGATAACTAGCAAGGAACCGAGAAGAAAACTGCCAATCAAATAAATCTCAAAATCAAGCATTGAATCGTTAATTGTCAAAAATATAACTATTGTTGGATGTTATGCATGACTTAGACTATTTATGTATGCACTAGGTTTAAGGTTAGTCGCGCTTTCATGCCAAGAGTCTAAAGTTACTGTCTACTAATAAATGATATGGATCATTGTGTAGGCCTACCCAGTATTATATGGTTTATGGTATATGATGTTATGTCTAGGCCTATTATTATTAATTTAAGACAAAATTCGCTATGAACAAGAACCATTGGCTAGTACACTGGATAATTACCGTTAACTTTAGACCAAGTGCATGCAACAACACCCTTCCTCGGAAAGTTGAAACCACCCCTTCTCCCAGTCCGGGAGAGAAACAATTAACAATTCGTCGAAAAGAATATAAATCAAGAAACCCAAGTATGTAAGACTAGTAGGCCTAGGCTAAATCGACAGCAAAGAATTGAGTCAGTGGACGGGTCTATGAGTGGTGGGGGGGGGGCGCTGGGGAGAGAATTTCACAGATGGATGGTGCAGTGCAATGCAATTTCATTTCATAAGAAAAAAATGCCTGAAAATTGTTGAAATGAACTGCATTAAGTGACCCAGGTTTTAACGAAAGAGCGAGCCTGCACATGATAACTAGCAAGATACCGGTATATCTGCCACCAACATCTGAATTACATATAAACACGACTCGAGTGCGCGTGCCTTTATTATGATTTGAGAAGTATGAGAAAAAGCGTGTAAATACAAGATTGGTTTTCGGCACACGAAGTAGGTAAAGCAAAGTAAAAAGATAATTAAGTTTTATTTTCCTCTTTCTAATTAAGAGATTAATTAGACCTCTATAATAGTTGCAGAAAATTGCTGATATAAAATATCATGGTGACGTGATGATGATCTAGCCTAATTTTGCTATAAGATTGTCATTCTTTCACCATCTGAGATAATATTTCCTCAAATCAAATGTTCGCACCTCGACCCCAACCAGGTTATGCTGAGATGGGTGTGCCTCCCGGCTTTCAAGTAGGTAGAGCAAAGTAAATACATCATAGACAATATTAAGTTTTATTTTCTACTGTACATCACACATATTATTTTGATCTCTGATTGCTGAAAATCGATGATAAAAGATAATGATAAATTGTGATGTGATGATGATGATGCATTTTTCTATATAAGAGTGTCATTTCCGGCCAACGAGAGCATTTCCTCGAAAATGTCCCCATCCCACCTTTCAAACAGATCTACACCCTTGTCCACAACAAACACACGGCATGAAACAGAAATTGTCAAGTAGGCCTAGGGTAAAAATACGACCTCATGACCACATTAACCTTCGGTCAATATTGATCGCTGTCTAGTGTTTTGATTATCATTAATTTATAATCACAACAAAGTAAAATAGTTTATCGATTTTAAAGACATTGATACACATCATTATGCATATAGATTAAAAAGATTACAGTACCTGTTTACCAGACCAGTAGGCCTAGTGACCTACCGCGTTTAAAGTCGATATAACGTGAAACATGTGGATTGTATTGATTTGAAGTATAGAGGGCTAAATTTATACCAATAAATAAAATATATTAAAATGCCTATTCCTGATGACATTAAATAATGTCGAAATATTGAATCCCAACAATTTAATATATATATATATATA